CAAAGGTCCCAGCGGCACCGCCCGCATGCGTCCGCCACCACCCTGCGCAGCCCTTGCTCCCTGCCTGCGTTTCACCCACCCAGTACAGCATTTCGTGGCCCCATAGGGAGCTCCACCGAAGGTCCCAGCGGCACCGCCCGCATGCGTCCGCCACCACCCTGCGCAGCCCTTGCTGACCGCGTCTCACCCACCCAGTACAACGCTTCGTGGCCCCATAGGGAGCTCCACCGAAGGTCCCAGTGGCACCGCCCGCATGCGTCCGCCACCACCCAGCACAATTGCGGCATTCACAACTGCATATGGTTGGGTCCTTCGCCAGGCTAATTATTTTCTTGTTTTTCTTACGAACGTATGGACCTTGAACGAGAAAACGCTGAATCAACGGCTCACCGAAAACATTAAAACAAACGACATCTGAACCAGAACCAGAACCGAAACAGGAACCGCAACAAGGACGACGACGGAAGCGGGATAACAACGGCGACGGAGCTGGAACAAAATCTGGCGCCGTCGCTTCCAGGGCCCACTACGGGCCCTCGTGGGCCCCCCTAATGCAGATCGGGTATTCTTGGTTTCTTAGGGAGCGTGGGGGGGTACCCTCCCGACGGGGGTCAACCTCGCCTCGTCGTCGCGCCGCGACGGGGGTCGGAGCGCCTTCGGCGCGCGGTGGCTGCCCGCGACGGGGGTCGATGCGGGGCTGTCGGCGGGGGTGACGCCCCCCCCGACGCTTATAAAGAAACTCGGAGTGGGTCTTCCCACGGCCGCGCCCCAGCGCCCCCCCCACCAGCAGGAGGGAGCAGAAGGCCGACGATAGGAGCGCCACGACGGCTGCTCGCTCGCCCAGAATCTGCCGACCGGAGTCCCCGAACCCCGCTGTGCGCAGCTAGATTTCGCGAGCAGGTGCAGGGACACTAAGCGAGGCCCAGGACGGCCACATTCTGCGAGGGCGGGCATCGAGGCCACAAGCGTCGACCGGGAACGTCGGAAGACGCCAACAGAGAAAGGACTTGAACGATGGACTCGTCGGGCGGGCTCGTCGGACCAACTCCAGTCGTGACGTGCATCGTACCTCTTGCCCCCTGGCCCGAGAAAGAGGAGAAGGCGAGAGGAGCTGAGGCGGATGAGGAAGAGGGAGGATGACACATGTGCGCAGAGCGCTGCCCGATGGGCATCCCTCGCTACCACTCCCGGGGGTCCTGCACCCGGTCGCGCAGAGACTGCGCCTCGAACTGCGGGTGGATGGCCAGGCGCACGCCAGGGGCTCCCAGGACGCGGTGGCTGGCGCCCGTTCCCGAGTAATTATCGTTTATCCGATCACTGTCCCCACTGGCGTGGCCTTGGCCCCACTGGCCGACTTGCCCACCTAGGTGGGGATGTATGCCTGCTCCTTCGGGTATCGCGAGGCCTATCTCCACCTAGGAGGGTGGGCTGGTGGGGTTGAGATACCATGGACCAGTGGGGATGAGGATAGGTTAGACGATATTGAGTTCTGGCGCACGGCTGCGTCCTGTCCTGACGACGTGGAGGATGGTTTCTGACGCCGCCTGGATCGCTCAATCCCGTAGGACCTCCGTCAAGCGACAGCAGAGATCGTCTAAAGTTGACCCGGTTCAGGGCGTCAAGCTGCCATCGTCCTCCTCCTCTTCCTCCTCCTCCTCGGGTCGCCTACGGCCCCGGGGGAAACCGTCCAGCGGGGGACAAGTAGCACTGGAATCCCCCGCGGGGACCAGCAGCCTCTTGACTCTGCTGCTGCAGGCGTGAGCACATTGGGGAGAACATGACGAGCGTGCTCTGATAGCTGCGCTGGGGATGCATCGTAGCGTTCGGTGCAAAGATACGCCCGTCCTTGTTACCCCCGAACTTCAATGATACATTCGACCAGCAATACGCATATGTGTGATGCATGTATATTCTGACATGAATACACGTGTGCGTATGGGCGGTGGTTGACTTCAGAACTCACGCATTGGCGATCGCTTCATGGTCACACTCTCTTCTCTGAATGCGGTGACATATGCAATTTGGCTTCTACTGCACAGTCACATTCCTCTGGAGCATTTTTTCAAGTTCCGCAGGAGCACCATCGCGGGCTCGAAGATGAACGCGTGCGCGCTGACATTGGGCTGTGGTCCGCTCAGGGCGAGCATGACACTAATGGGGGCGAGAGCTGGCAGGAGGGCACGAGGACACGTGACGCCGGGGAGAGCACATCCTTCAAACTGGCTGCTCCTACTAGTTGCTTCGGAACAAGAGCTCCTCGGCGGCTAATTACTGACGCTCGAAAAATGCGACAGGCGAGGCACCTGTTCCCTCTGTTCCCCTACCCCTCACGATCGGCAAGGCGCACACTCAGAGGTGGCGGCGACGGAGTGCGCTGCGGTTGGCCAGGGAGCTACCTGCGGCGGGTGGCCAGGCATCCTCCTGTCCGGGAGTCGAACAAAAATGGTGGGGGGGTAGCATGGGGGGGAAGGGGCTGCGAATGCGCTGCACGCATCCGGGGCTCCCGGCGCCTCGCGGCGCCCGAGGCGGCCATGCGTCGAGGAACGTGCCCCGCGGGGGCCGAAACCAACCGTCGCGCCCCCCCTAGATGCTACGGAAAGAACTGCCCATCGAAGACTATCCCACCTTCTATCTATCCTTATCTGTATATATGTGTCTATATGTATATATATATGTATATATATATATATATATATATATATATATCGATCTCTCTACCCATCTATCGATGTATAGACATAACTTGATCTACGCTGATTGTACCGAAAAGCTAGATATGTAGATGTACAGAAAAGTGGCACGGGGGCCACACTGTTATATATTAGACGACCGTTTGAGAAACACCCTCGTGGCCAAGAAACAAAAAGAGGGTATAACAACAGCTAGATACCTACACTGGGAACGAAGAAATGTCTTGCGTGCTCTTCTAGCAAGTATGTGCCAACGGACTGAATCCCACCAGCCCTTTAAGGCGCCTCTTCTTTCCCCTCCGGGTAGGGGTTTATCCCTCCCCCATACCCTGGACCTGGATGGATGGGGGGGAGCGGGCCGCGACCGATTGGAGCGTCCAAGATGGCCTCGGCGAGAAGGCAAACCTGATCTTAGGCATTATTTGGGCCTCTTTTGGCCACCTGTGGGGGGGCCAAATTGAGCCCCCCACCCCTTCCTCCAAGATGGCCCCACGATGGCTCCCAAGGCTCCCGCGAGTGCTCCAAGAAGGCCCCAAGAGGCGCACTGGAGGCCCCAGGAGGCCTCCAAGAGATCCCCAAGAGGCTCAGAAGACACCCACAGGAGGCCCGAAGAGGCGCTCACAAAACGCTCGAAGGAGCCTCCCAAGACGCTCGAAGACGCCTCAAGAGGCCCCCAAGGCGCTCCAAGAGGACTCCAAGAAGCTCTCAAGAAACATCCGAAGAGACTCCGAGAGGCATCCAAGAGGCCTCCTCCCCCTCCTCCTCCTCCTCTTCACCATCATCCGCCTGTTCCTCCTCGTCCCTCATTCGGCCTCACCCCTGCTTCTTCTTTTCCTCCTCCTCCTCCTCCTCCGATTCCTCCTCCATCCTCCCCCGCTTGGGGTATGACGGCTTCCCCAACCCCTTATTCCAGTGCATGCTCCTCCGAATCCCTGATCAGGGCAACTCGACTGGGCATCGTTTCTGGATGGACCAGGGGGTCTACGCGAACAGTCTAGAACATCTCTGTGTTCGTGTACATTTCCTCATAGAGAGGAAGCCGTTGAAACTCGTTGAAACCATTTGTGTTTTTAGTATTGTATCTCTTATTGCTTCGAGTATTGTATCTCTTATTGTTTCGAGTCGTTCTTTGACGGTCCCAGGGCCCAGCGAGGGCCCCCGGAGGCCGAAAATGGCAATTGACCAGCCGTCGTGATTTCATCGCAGCGCGAGCATGAACATAACAACTTTTTTGGAGATGGTCCGTCTCCGCACCACATTGGGGGACCCTGGGGGCCTCAATCGACCGAGTCATCCTCGGAGAACGACCCAAGTCTAAACACCATGCGGTCCCACCGACTCCCCACTGACTCACCACGCGGTGTGGTCACCACACCGCCCCCGAACTTCAGTTCCGCCGCCTTCCTCGAAGTCGAGGACCTTTCTGGAGCGTCCCATGTGCATACGCAGCAGCGCGTCCCCTCATCCGCCAGACGTGCGACATCTGGATTTTTTCAATGCGCGGTTCTCAGAGATGCCCCCCCTTTTCCCAGGCCCAGTCTCTCATCCCGAGATGTTCTTTGATGGCTCTGGGACCCTGCGACCGCCCACCATGATTTTCTCGCGGCGCAAGCATGTCCGGGCACACAGCAGCGCACCCTCCCTTTAGTAGAGGCCGCCTAGATGGTGCCCGAGTAAGTGGGGTCGGGGAATTGCACCGCATCGCCGATACGTCGGCGATGCATCGGCGACGTTGGCGATGCATCGGCGACGCCAGCGTGGAGAGATCGGACTCGACATCGAGCCACATCGCCGACGCATCGACGATACGGCGCGGTCCTCCGACCCCACCCGCTCCGACCCCGCCCCGGGGGAAACATCGACCTGTGACGGGGGGGGGACCGCACCTACTCCGACCCCACCTGTTCCGACCCCACCCGGAGGGGGGACCAGCTCGGGGGGGAAACGTCGACCTATGATGGGCGACACGTCGCCGACAGATCGGCGACAGGCCCCCGATGCCGAATCCACACGTTCCCAGGCGGGGAAGGGTTACCGGGCCCTTATCGGCGACGAATGGGCGACGGGGGGTCGATGCAGCCCCCCTTCAGCCTACACTCAAGGGCTCCCAACTTCGCGCTTCGCGCTTCGCGCTGCGCGAAGCGCGAAGTGCGAACAACTTCGCGCTCTCGCGCCGCCTCCCAGGGGAGAAGAGGAGGATGAGGAGGAATCGGAGCCGAACCGCGAAGCGCGAACAACTTCGCGCCCTTGAGGGCGCCCTTGTATATTCCAGCAGCGATGCCCCGGAGGATTTGGGTCCGCTCCCGCTCCTCAGGCCCCCACGGCCCGGTCGCACACCCCGAGGGGGGCCTGCGCCTGTGGGCGGTGACGTCCGAGACCCTGCCCCCGCCAGCCATCGGTTCAGTTTTTTGTGTATTGGATATCTCGGCGACTCCTCCTCCTCCTCCTCCTTCTCCTCCTCCTCCTCCTCCTCCTCGTCCTGCCCGTTGCTTCCTATTTGTTGGTTTCCCCCCTAAGGCACGACGTTTCGGCGCTACTGGGGGTTAGCTAATAATAGGAGGCCGGAGGACGGATTCAGCTTGTGCCTGCTTCCTCTTTGTACACGTGTGCCCTTGGTTTGGGCCATTTGGCCCGCGCTTTGCTGAGCGCCGCAGATTTGTTCTGCCTTCTGGGCTGCCACATCCTCCTCCTCGTCCTCCTCCTCCTCCTCCTCCTCCTCCTCCTCCTCCTGGGGGGAAGTTAGAAGGAGAAGACCTCTTCAGGAGGCTCGGAAGTCTTGGGGCCTTCTGAGAGGTTGTCTAAGCCTTCCCCGAAGACGCAGCAGACTTCTGAGAAGGCGCGAGGACTTCTGGGAAGTCCCGCGGTCTTCTGAGAAGGCCTTCTTCTTCTTCTTCTTATTATTATTATTATTATTAGTATTCTTCTTCTCTCTTCTCCCCCTCGCTCGCCGCCGAATATCGGTATGGGTTAGCCCATTCTGCTACTCCTCCCGAATCGATGGGCGGCGGTGGCAGGGTTCGGATTCTCCCACCTGCTCGACAGAATCCGAACCCTGACCCAGAAAAAGAAAACACGCCATAAACATTAACGTTTGGAGCTCCGCGTGGACTTCTTGGATCCGCGCTGGACCCCTCCCTGACGCGCGGAGCGCGCCAGTGGCGGCGCTGGAGGCGCCGCTGGGGGGGCCCGGGCGCCGATCCAAGAAATCAGCGCGGAGCGCCAAACATCTTTCATCTAATCCCCATACCCTACTCCTCCCTCCTCCTCATCATCCACCACTCATCCTCATCTCTCCTATCCTCCTCCTTCTGCTCCTCCTCCTCCTCCTCCTCTCGTTGTAGTCTTCCTCTCCTCCTCCTCTCCTCTACCTCCCCCTACTCCAACTCCTCCTCCTCCTCCTCCTCCCTCCTCCTCCTCCTCCTCCTCCTCCTCCTCCATCTCCTCCTCCTCCTCCTCCTCGTTGTAGTCTTCGTCGTCGTCATCGTTGTGACGTTCATGGCGATTTTCCCCTCTCCGATGACCCCCGCCGCCCACCGAGCTGCCCGAAGCCGAGCCGTGGATCGGCGAGGGCAGGGTTCGGACTGCGCCGCCGGCCGCGCGCCTGCTTGCGGGGCAGGCCCGCCTGACGGGCTCCGATCTTCCACCACCGCTGCCACGTGTAGGAGGAGGAGGAGGAGGAGGAGGAGGAGGAGGAGGAGGAGGAGGAGGGGGATGGAGGGAGGGACGGGAGGGAGGGAGGGAAGGGGAGGGGGAGGAGGTCGGAGGAGGAGGAGGAAGGAGGAGGATGAGGAGGAGGAGGAGGAGGAGGAGGAGGAGGGCCTCCCCATCCTCCCTTCTCCCCCGTCCTACACGTCGTTCCTGTCTCATCGTGCTCATTCCTAACTGTGCTCGTTCCTGTTTGTTCCTGGCCCCCTGGTGGCCAGGAAGAGGCCCAGGATGGCACGATCAGAAATGAAAGCATCTGGGCCCCGCAAAAAAAATCAAAGAACTTCCGAGGAATGAGACATGAACTACGTGTACTGCTTTTTCACGACGTCGACCCCCAGAAGTCTGGAGGGCCCCCGGAGGCCGAACATAGTGAAAAAAACCTCTCGTCATGACTTTTGTCAATGCGCTCGATCTCTGGGTATGGTTCGGGAGCGACCAAGAGGGGGGTGTCCAAGAGGGGGGGTGCAAATCATGACCGGCGGCATGTGCGCGGCCCAATGGGGGGGCCAGGGACGTGATGAAATAAGAAGCGGCGCCATGGAATCTGGGGAAGTATCATGGCCCGCGCCATGAAATCCACCCCCCCCCTAGTCATCACCCCCCTCTTTTCCGCTCCCGAATGGTAGTGGTTGTGGAACATCTGCCCCTCGCCGCCAGCAGCAGCTTCCACACCCCCGCCGCGCAGCAGCGCCGCCCCGGCGGCGCGGCCGGGGCCGCCGCGCCCTCGCGCACCGCCGGGGTCGCGGCTCCCAGAGGCGGCGGCGGCCCGCGCGGCTCCGCCTCGAGCGCCTTCTCAGAGGGCCCTCAGATCCATGGGACGCCCAGGGACACACTAGTACTACAGTCGGGGCGTTGACCTAAGGAACCCTACATAAGGAACGAGGCCCCTTTTTTCCATACGTTAAACTTCGATTTCCTATCGAAACCATAAGGAACACCTGAAGCAAGCTGTGAAACACGTAAGGAACGCGGAGACCCTCCCCAACGAAAAGGGTTCCTTCTTCAGGGCCCCGACTGTATATGTAATCCTTGGAGGCGCGCGTCCGAACCGAACATCTAGTCTACCCATCTTGTAGCAGATCGTTTCCCGAGCGGTGTGGCCAGACAGCGCCCGCCACGACGCACATACTATAAGATTTCTCGGTGGGGGGGGCGACGCACAAATAGTATACGTACGTTGGGGTGACGCCGAATCCAGACTTAGGTCGCACGTCCATCCACAGGAGGAATTCGCCGGCCCAACGGGCCAGGGCGTGCTAAGATCTCCGGTACCTGGTTAACAGTATTTCTAGTTCGCGCGCGCGGGGCGGCCCCTGGGGGTCCCCGTGCGAAAAGTACCCCGGCAAGGTCCCGGCAAGTCCCCGGCAAGTCCCCGGCAAGGTCGGGTCAGAGATGCCGGAGTTCTGTTTCGGAGTCCAAGAGGGCTCCAGATCGGTCCAAGAGGGCCCCGAGAAGCTTTCTAGACGGTCCAAGAGAGGCCCGAGACGGCCAAAGATCGCCCGAAGACGCCCCAGATGGCCCCAAGACAGCCCAAGAGGCCTCCAAGACGCTCCAAGGGCCTTCCAAGAGGCCTCCGAAGAGGGCCCCAAGTTGCCAAAATCGTTGATTTTCATTGGTTTTTTCTATGTTTTTTTGCGTTCTGGCCTTTTCGCTTCCGGACGCTCCAAGAGGGCCCAAGAGGCCTTCAAGACTGCTCCAAGACGGCCCACGAGGCTCCCAAGACGGCCCCGGAGCGGCCCAAGAGCGCCCCCCAGACGGCCCAAGTGCTGCCCAAGGCGGACCAAGAGGCCCCAAGACGGGCCCAAGAGGGGCTCAAGAAGGGAACCGAGAACTGAAAAATCGAGCCCTCCGCCCCAGAAGGCGCCCAGGACCCCGAAAGAGGCCCCAAGAGACTCTCCAAGACACCCCCAAGACGCCCCAATAAGCTCCCGTGAGGCCCCAAGAGGACCAACAACGTCAGGCCCCAGGCCCCAAGAGGACCAACAAATACCGCCAAGAGCCCGCCGAAAGCCCCCCAAGAGACCGTCACGAGAGCTCAGGAGGCCCCCTGGAGGCCTCCCGAGTTCTCCAAGAGGCCTAAAAAGAGGCGCCAAGAGGCCCCAAACGGCCCCACCGAGGCTCCAAGAGGCCACGAACGCGCAAGCAAACGCCTGCGATGGCATAATACGGGCCGGCGGAATGAGCGAAGCGATTAAATATCCCAAAAAGAGTCCACAAAATAGTCTGGGGACGATGTCTCGACTGTCCCTGACAACGGTTTCGTATTCGGACAATTTTCAGGCTTCCCCTAGAAATCCGCCCGTAGGAGGACACGCCCGACCTGAATCCAGACGCCTCGAACATATGGAGCCTGGAGGGTTTCTCCGAAGAGCTTAGGCGACCCGTCCTCCTTCTCCTCCTCCTTCTCCTCCTCCTCCCCCTCCTCCTCCTCCTCCTCCTCCTCCCCTCGCTCCTTCCCCCTCCTCCTCCTCCTCCTCCTCCTCCTCCTCATCCATCTCCATCTGCCTCGTCCCCCTCCCCTCCTCCAACCTCCTACTCCTCCCCTCCTCCTTCCTCCTCCTCCTCCTCCTCCTCCTCCTCGGGTCGCCTACGGCCCCAGGGGAAACCGTTTGATGGAGGCATGCTGAGAAGCACCAAACCGAAGCCCTGACGCAGCGAAGAGTCTTGGCATGACTCGACGGGCCTGCCGCCGCGAAGGCCTAACCAAAATTCGAGCTCACGGACCTGTGGGGAGGTGCACGGTTTCCCCCTGGGACGTATGCGACCCGAGGAGGACGAGGAGGACGAGGAGGAGGAGGAGGAGGAGGAGGAGGAGGAGGAGGAGGCGGGAGGAGGAGAAGGAGGGGAGGAGGGAGGGAGGGGGGAGGAGGGAGGGAGGGAGGGGACGGGAGGGAGGGAGGAGGGATGAGGAGGAGGAGGAGGAGGAGGAGGAGGAGGAGGAGTGGAGGAGGAGGAGGAGGAGGAGGAGGTGGAGCGGTGGAGGAGGGGGGAGAGGATGAGGAGATGGAGGAGGAGGAGGTGAGGGGAGGAGGAGGAGGAGGAGGAGGAGGAGGACGGAGAAGGAGGAGGAGGAGAGGAGAAGGGGGTGAGGGAGGAGTGGAGGAGGAGGAGGAGGAGAAGGAGGAGAGGAGGAGGAGGAGTGGAGGAGGAGGAGGAGGAGGAGGAGGAGGAGGAGGAGGAGGAGGAGGAGGACGAGGACGGGTCGCCTACGCCATTCGGTGTAACCCTCCATGGGGAGGACCCTCAGATCAGGGCGTTGCGATGTGCTTTCGCACCTGACGCCTGTGTGCCATGCACGTGGCCGTGCTCTCGTCCCTGTCACGGCCAGGAACCGCGAGGAACACCCCGGGAGGCACGTCTTCAGTGGCCGACCCCCTGCGCCTCGACCCGCATCTTGACCCTTGCTGCTACGAGAGCGGCTTGCTGGGGCAGCCGGTTCTTCGGAAGCGCTCGCCCAGAAAACTCGAGGCGACCGCACGCCCTGAGAGACCCAGGAGGACACACGCACACCTCCGCCACCGTGCACGTGAGGCACGAGCCTGCGTGTTCTCGGGTCCCTTGCTCAATCCCCTGGGCCTCAGTGCTCAGTACGGAGGGTTTTTCCCCAACCGTCCTGTGGTGTTGTGTCCTCGTGTTGAAGAGACAGCGCCCCGCGGTTCCTCCTCCTTCCTCCTCCCTCCTCCCCTCCTCTCATCATCATCATCATCATCATCATCATCATCATCATCATCATCATCATCATCATCATCATCATCATCATCATCATCAGCATCAGCATCAGCATCAGCATCAGCATCATCATCATAATCATGATCATCATCACGATTCAGCATCAGCAATCATCAAGCATCATCATTCATCATCATCAGCATCATCATCGTTAATCATCATCAGCTCACAAGCTCGATCATCAGAATCAGCATCGTCTTCCTCAGCATCATCATCGTCATCATCATCATCACAATCATCAGCCTCGTTATCACCATCAGCATCACCATCAACATCAGCAGCATCATCATCAGCAGCATCAGCATCAGCATCATCAACATCAGCATCATCATCAGCATCGTCATCATCATCATCACCATCATCATCATCATCATCATCATCATCGTCGTCATCATCATCATCATCAGCATCATCATCAGAATCATCATCATCATCGTCATCATCGTCGTCACCATCATCACCATCACCATCAACATCATCAACCTCATCACACGTTTCGTTGCCCCATAGGGAGCTCCACCGACGGTCCCAATGGTGCGGTTGGCATGCGTCTCCCCCGCCCAGTACAGCGTGTCGTGGCCCCACGGGGAGCGCCACCGCCGAAGGTATCCGTGGCGCAGTCCGCATGCGTCTCCCCCACCCAGTACAGCGCTTCATTGCCCCACAGGGGCTCCGCCGAAGGTCCCAGTGGCGCAGTCCGCATGCGCGCCCGCCACTCATTTCGGCACACCCCTCACACGATACGTGGCCTCATAGGAGCTCCGCCGAAGGTCCCAGGTCCACAGTCCGCATGGGTCCCCGCCAATCATGTCGGCACACCCCTCACACGTTACGTGGCCCCATAGGAGCTCCGCCGAAGGTCCCAGGTCCACAGTCCGCATGGGTCCCCGCCACTCATTTCGGCCCACCCCTCACACGCTTTGTGGCCCCATAGGAGCTCCGCCGAAGGTCCCAGTGGCATAGTCCGCGTGCGCCCCCGCCACTCATTTCGGCTCACCCCTCACACGCTTCGTGGCCCAATAGGGGCTCCGCTGACGGTCCCAGTGGCACAGTCCGCATGCGTGTCGGCAATTCATTTCGGCCCACCCCTCACACGTTTCCTGGCCACATAGGGGCTCCGCCGAAGGTCCCAGTGGCACAGTCCGCATGTGCCCCCGCCACTCATTGCGGCCCACCCCTCACACGTTTCGTGGCCCCACAGGAGCTCCGCCGACGGTCCCAGTGGCACAGTCTGCACGCGTCCCCGCCGCACATGTCGGCACACCCCTCACACGTTTCGTCGCCCCATCGGAGCCCCGCCGAAGGTCCCAGTGGCACAGTCCGCATGCGTCCCCGCCAATCATGTCGGCACACCCCTCACACGTTTCGTGGCCCCATAGGAGCTCCGCCGAAGGTCCCAGTAGCATAGTCCGCGTGCGTCCCCGCCACTCATTTCGGCTCACCCCTCACACGTTTCGTGGCCCAATAGGGGCTCCGCTGACGGTCCCAGTGGCACAGTCCGCATGGGTCCCCGCCACTCATTTCGGCACACCCCTCACACGTTTCGTGGCCCCATAGGAGCTCCGCCGAAGGTTCCAGTGGCACAGTCCGCATGCGCCCCCGCCACTCATTTCGGCCCACCCCTCACACGTTTCGTGGCCCCATAGGGGGCTCCACCGAAGGTCCCCGTGGCGCAGTCCGCATGCGTCTCCATTACCCAGTACAGCGTTTCGTGGCCCCATATGGAGCCCCACCGAAGGTCCCCATGGCGCAGTCCGCATGCGTCTCCCTCACACAGTACAGCGTTTCGTGGCCCCATAGGGAGCTTCACCGAAGGTCCACGTGGCGCAGTCCGCATGCGGTTCCCCCACCCAGTACAGCGTGTCGTGGCCCCATCAGGAGTTCCGCCGAAGGTCCCCGTGGCGTCTCCCCCACCCAGTACACCTCCGTCGGAGGCCGTCGGGGTTCTGAGGAGGACGAACGGAGGAGGAGGAGGAGGAGGAGGAGGAGGAGGAGGAGGAGGAGGAGGAGGAGGAGGAGAAGGGGGAGGAGGAGGAGGAGGAGGAGGAGGAGGAGGAGGA